CTATGTATCGCAATACTATGTATCGCAACACTCTGTATTAAACTAATATAACCTGTTACAAAAATTTGAAGTGACGAGCGGCGGATATATTGAGCACCATTTCTGTTGACCTGTGACGTACGCATTCCCAATGCGCATAGCGTTCGGCTAACTTCGTCATGACGTCACGACTGACAGCAGGCATCTAATGATACATTCGATCTTGGAGTTGGGAATGCATGCGTCACAGGTCAACAGAAATGGCACTGGAAGAATCGCCGCTCGTCGCTTCGAATTTTTGTAACAGGTTATATTAGTTTAATACAGAGTATTGTGATACATAGTATGGAAGTTATAGTCTCTGAAAACGCACCAGCAAACTGCCCTGAGTGATTCACTCAGGGGTTCCTTCACACAAAAGGATAGGCTCGCGTTGTAACCCTATCCTGTGTTTGGGTTACATTATTGTATCTAAAACACCCCGTGCAAATAGTCTAGATATAAGCAAGAGTACATAATAGAGAAGAGTATGAAACGGTTTTAACAGCGTTTTGCATAGTTTTCAACTTGTAAATATCCTATCAATTGATATGTGAATAAATATATTCAAACTTTACCTTGTTTTCGTCTATGATTCTCCCTTAATCATATGACACCACAAATTTACCTGAAAATCGTATGTGTTCTTCAAAAAAGTTATTTGAATACGACACGGAACCTTTCGCACAGTTTTCACGCATGGATGCATGTTTTAGACTAAACTTTCCATCAGGATTAGTGTTCTATTGTCTATGACGGAGCTTTGGGGGCTGTAAGGGATATTAGGCATCGAATTGTATTCAGCGTGCAGCGTTTCCAGCGTGCTAAAAATAAATGTGCTCACGGCCCGCTAGCTAGCAGCTGATTCCCTTACGGCCCCCAGCGTACCGTCATAGACAATAGAACACTAATCCCATATCAAAGTTTGGTCTAAAACATGCATCCATGCGTGAAAACTGTGCGAAACCGTGTCGTATTCAAATAACTTTTTTGAAGAACACATACGATTTTCAGGTAAATTTATGGTGTCATATGATTAAAAGGATACTCTCCACGTTGTGCACAGGTATTGCTCTAGTGAAGATTAAACGTTTATTGGCGAATGAATCCAATCAATCACTTGTTTTATTTATAGAGGAGATATATCTCTATGCTCAAGCCAAAAGATTTTATGAAATTTCCAGCACGTAATTATGTTACCACACAAATTTTGAATTTTTATGTAAAAATGGTATTTTGGATATTTCTCAACTACCAGAAAGAGTGAGAATACAAAATTTTTGCCACATGTTAAGCACAATATGGACCAAAATAGTGCGTCAGGATTTTTCTTAAATTTTCATATTTACTGAGAAAACTGGAAAAAAAACTGCTTAAAAATCAAGTTGTTTGTTAAAATAGAACATTTTAGCGAATAAAGAGGCATAACTAATAAAGTACGGCACTTAATAACAATCCCTGACACATTTCTTTACCACAATATGTTACCATTAAAACGAGTGTAAAATTAAATTATGTGGGATACTTATTGGATCAGGGTAGTAGTACAGCTGTAGCAGGGTTGATGTTGATCAGGAGTAGATAATAGGGAATTCCCTATTATCTACTCCTGATGTTGATGGATACTTGCTCAGTGAATATCGTGAAAATGCTGGTTGTATCATGTGTCTGACGTCATAATGACAGGCTTTCAGATTTGAAAAGTACAGGAGGACTACTAATGACTCCCCTAGGACACCATAGGGGGTCTTTTCACGCTCCATAATCACACCCTTAAGAGGCATGATGGAGAGCTCCACTAAAAATCACACCTTTAAAAGGGATGATGGAGAGCTCATTGAGGGCTCTCCATCATGCCTCTTGGTGTGTGATGATGGAATCATGACCAATCCTCAGTCTAGAGTGAAATCCAAAACGAAAATTGAGATGTCATGTCAATCTACTGATTATCATTCATCTTCACCTTCATTCATTCAATGGCTTCGTCAGGATTACATTCTTTTCATCCAACAACCCAACACTAGCACACAGATTAATAAAAGAGTTGAACGCACGGACGATCATGCGATTCTACAAGCTGCATCTGACTATGTCAGATGAGCTAAAAACAATGCAAATGAGACAATCAGTGCATGCAGTCATACTTTGTACACAACATGCATACAGCAACATGTAAACCAGGCCTCCGTGATTATGAATGATTGTTGACCTCGTCGATTTCGCCAAAGCATAATCTTGACTTTTCATTTGGGGAACACCTTTACGATAATTAGACACAATTTCTGGCGTCCGAGACATTATTAGAGTTATTTTAACAAAATCATGCTATGAAAAAGTAACTCTGGCCAAGCCTAAAATAGCTCCCATAAAAAAATTACGACAGCTCTTTTTTCATACAAAATCAAAAAAGAGCTCTCGTTAAAAAAAAGAAATTTTTAGGCTGTACTGTATACACCATATTTTTTGCGTACAGATATTTGCGCAAATTCAGACTTGACAGACAATTTCGCAAGTGGTTAATTTTGCGGTCGGTGAATTATGAATTATTCGGTATTGCTCGGTATGAATTATTCTATTGTTGTTATTTTCGCGGTCGGTAACACGTTCGCATAATCCGCAAAAATTAAACCACCGCGGAATATACAGCGTATACAGTACGCTACTCGTAGATGCGTGGCCACGGCGACAAGCTGGGCAGTGACAGACGGGAGAGATACCATCAGGACACACTACTCGCGGATACGTTGCCGTGGCAACGCGCTCACCTTCTTTCGCAGCTTCCCTCGGATGTGGCAGAGCCGCTTGATGCCGTCGAAGCACATTGCTTCCAGCCTGCCGTTACCAAGCATCTTCACGACCTGCGCATATTCTGCCGGTCGCAGAGAGAAAGAAAAGAGAGTCAGTCGTTACCTGCAAGTGCAGTGACATGCATGCTGGAGAGAGAGGAGGAGGGAGGGAGGGAGGGAGGGAGGGAGGAAAGGAGAAAGAATGAGAAAGAGTGAGAGAGCGGGGGAAGAAAGAGAGAGAGTGAGAGAGAGGGGGAGGGAAAGATAACGACAGAGAGAGACTGCGCGGCGAAGAACTGCCGGGTGCGTTCAGAGAGAAGCCGAGCAGAAAGTGTGCGTGCCGTGAAAGCGCTGTCTGCAAAAAGTGCGCTCGGCCGGGAAATAGCGACTGGCAGCGCGATATCGGCGACCCTAGTACGTAGCACCGCCCGGAAGATGCGCGGAGAAAGCGAGGCAGAGATGGGAGGAGAGAGATGGAAAGAGAGATAGGCAGAAAGAGAGCGAGCGAGAGCGAGAGAGATAGTGTGTCAGAGAGAAAGAGATCAAGAGAGAGAGGAAGAGAGAACGAGAGAGAACGAGAGAGAACGAGAGAGAGTGTAGGGGGAAAGATGGAGACAGACATACAGAGACAGAGAGAGAGAGAGAGAGAGAGAGAGAGAGAGAGAGAGAGAGAGAGAGAAATACCTTAGTTCGCTGTGCAGTGTAAATTTCAAGAGCCGAACCGAAATTTACTTTCACCGCCAACCGCCATGTTTCCACTACGCATGCGTTTCGAATATTTTGATCAGAACGCGGAAAACCCGAAACGACATAACATACCATAGCGTTGCAACTCGCATTGGCGCGAGCATAAATAAGCATCATATACTCGTGTACATACAGGGGCCTATCTAGGATTTTTTTTCGAGGAGCGACAGCAAAACTTTCCGGGAATCGAGGAAAAAGCTGCAATCGGGAATGACACAGGAGTGTGCCGGCACCCAAAAAGAAACGTTGCTGTTTCGACGATCAAATAGGATCGATGTTTGCTGGGTCATATTTATTACGGGAAAATTACGTTCGTCACTTTTTTCGCCAAATAAGACTTTCAATTGCCAGATTACTAATTTGTTCGCCATTGGCGAATTGGCGAGTGGGTAGCGAGGGCCCTGATATAAATATTAAAACATTGAAAACCAGGAAACATTAATCTACAACAACTGAATCATTATCATTGCGAAGATATGTACTCGACTTGTGTTTAGGCCTACGCACTGTGAAAACCAGGTCCATTGCCGATTTTACTATTTTTAGTCGCACCGGACATGGCGGCTTTCTTGTTGTGTTCAGTCAATTAATCTCAGAAAATACGGCCTACCTCGATAAATAAGTAGAGCCCAGTAGCACCCAGTTACCGCCAGTGTTTGCCACTGAGCAGAAAAAGCTGTAGGCTTGCAGGGCCTATAGCTCCTAAAAGCTGCAGGCCCGCCAGCAAAGCTGTAGGCCGCCAATTTTGGAGCAAATTACAGTACTTAATAAAACAGCATATCATGTTCTTCCTTGTGTTTATTAGTCATTATCAATGTCCATAATCATAATCCCTCTGTTTTTCCTTCCAACAGGGTTCCAGGCTATCGCTCTTTCATTTACAATCAGGCTGCGCGAATATGCAGTGGGCGAACGCATTGTTTACATGTATGTCACGGATTAGTTTTCAAATAAATACCCCTGGAAGTTAATATATGCAAGAAAAGATTTTTACAGGTAACAGTTTCTCAGTGTTTCGAATTTTCGGTGATCAAATAGCGATAGGATCAGCGGGCCTGTTTTATCAAGAAGCTGTAGGCCCGCCGGCATAAAAAACTGTCGGCGGCGGGCCGACGTGAATTTCGAACCCTGGTTACCGCGAGCAAGCCAGAGGTTTATAGATTCGTTTGAGCTATTACATGTGACGCTAGCCGTGTCGATGGTTGGATACCGAGCCAACTACAAGGTTTTATGGGCAAGAATTTGAAACGGTATTCTAACCCTAGCAATACCGTTTCTTGGAGCTAGGGCCTACTGTCAGTTCTGATCAGCCGTAGCCGTGGCCTCTCGTACTGTAGCTCCCGTATCCGAGTTCCCTCTGACCAACTTCAATGACCACACCGACAATTTTTGGTGGATTTGGTGTGGTGGATGTGGTGTGGAAAAACCCACCAAAAATCGTCGGTGTAGGCATTGGTCAGAGGAAACTCGGACTACGCATGATTGATCGTATGCCAGCCTCCAGACTAGCCTCTAGTAGTAGTGCTCAAGGGGTCGTTGTCGTAACAGGTACTACAGATGTGTACCCGAGGTACATATATGTATACACAAAGTGTACCAGACTTGTACTACAGAAGTGTACCCTAACCCTAACACTAACCCTAACCATAACCCTAACCCTAAACATACCTCATATAAAACTATAAACATAATACTAAACAACCTAAAACTACCTCGGGTACATATCTGTAGTACCTGTTACGACAACGACCCTTCGTGCCACAGGCACTTGAAGCGTTTCAACTGTAAACACACGCCGCCGCCATTGCGCGCACACTGAAGGCCAAGACACACTGCAGCGACAACGACCGACCGTAACGACAAACGACTTTTCAGAAAATTAGAAACTATTGTTTCCTATGAGCCATTGCACACTGACGCGACGACGACCGGCGACAACCTCGACGACAAAAATATTTATAAACGTTTCTATTGCCAGCGCGACTGTCGCCGGCGACACGTTACAAAATGGCCAATCCCACCCAGCCGGTTTCCATCGGCATGGCGTGACAGTCCGCGGCGGGAGTTACGTCATAAAGTGGATAACACGAATGGGCTAGCCAGGAGAAGTGAGACTGTTACGCAGCGCTAAAACTCGCTCACCGCCGTGTCAGAAAGGTGGGCGGATGGCCGCGAACCCATCGAACACCAAACCGGGTGCCGCAGACTTGCGGGGCCCGAGGCGCGCATGATTATTGGTTTGGTGTACGTGTCGGGGGGCGCTATAGATGGAGTATTACATATGCTGGCTTTGGTGGGGGCGTTAAGTTATTAGTGTGACTTGAGTTAGTAGTTCTCGCTGGTGAGTGACAATAGAGCCGGTTTGTACGGGGGAGCTAATATCTGTTTGATTTAAAAATAGCGAGCAGCAGAGTTTTTTGTCGTTTGCTCTAAATGATGGCACTGTGGGTTGGGGTGGGGGGGGGGGGCTGGTTCGCGGGGGCCGGGGTGGTGAACTTTGACGTTACGGCGGTGTCGGCTCTCTGATCGCTGCAGTCGGTTCGGCCTGCGCCAGCGCCGCGACTTTGTCGTTCGTGGTTCGTTGACCGCGGCCTGGCTCGCTGTCAGCTGGTCAGTTGTGTTTGGCCTTGAACATAAGGGGTCGTGACCTATTACTTGGGTCAGGGGCTTCCTGGCGCATGTGGGTATACAGTATACCTACATATTATATATGTAGGTAGTATATTAGTGTGTGCAGTGGCGCGCAATGGCGGCGCGTGCGCTGTTTACATGGCGAAGGACGCTTCACAAGTGCTTGTGCTTCGGTGCGAGTAGTCAGGTACTGAGCTAGTAGTACTATGTCTAGGTAGGGGATATAAGGTATGCTGTGTAGAGGGGCGAAAAAGGGGGAGAGAGGGGCCGAAGTAAAAATTAGTATAGGCGTATACCTACAACACATTTTCGATCAGATGATTTACTTTGATATTGATGCTACGCGATTTAATTTGCGGATCTATTACACACCCTTATTCCTCTTGGCTAGCTCGTATTTAGCCACTTAAGCAACAAGCCAGAAACAGTTTCTGGCTTGTATTCGTAACGATTATGCAGCTTTTTGTCAGCACGCCATTAACCCATGTCACACTGATTACATGCGCCAGAAAATCCACACACAGATGGAAACGCTGATGGAACAAGTTTACGCAACAAAAGCCACCAGGTACATGCCTCTTGTTATCGCGTCTTCCTAAATACGAAAACGTCGAAAGTGCCCGAATCCGGCACCGACAAACAAAATGTTCGAAAAAAAAGATGGCACCACTTACATCGAAAGGAAGTTAATTCTACATACACGCACGCCTCGCGATTGCGCAAACACACACACACACACACACACAACACACACACACACAACACACACACACACACAACACTACACACACCACACACACACACAACACACAAACACACACACACACACACACAGGCCCGCCGGAAGCAGTTCTTGTGATTGGGAGGCAAAGACCCATAAAGGCGGCTCTACGATTGTGGTTTTATCACGATTTGGCGCGCGTCGAGCGCTGTCAGTGCGCGACGTGTGTGCGTGGAGCGCGTGGTGTGTTCAGGACGTGTGTGCTGACGGCGTCGTGTGCGACTGTGGTGGTGAGCGCGTCGTGTGGCCGTGAGCGCGGGGTTGTGCGTGGAAGCGCATGGTGGCTGGGAGGCGTGTATGCGACGTCGGGCTGTGTGTGTGACGTCGGTGCGTGAGCGGTGTGTGCGATTTGTGTGTGGCTGAGCGTTGTGTGTGTGATGATCAGGTGTGCGTGTGTGCGTAGTGGTAGTGCGACTCCGTGTGGCCGTGTGCGAGTGTTGTGCGTGAGCGCGTCCGTGTGCGGCGTGTGGCGTGAGCCGCGTGGTGCGTGAGCGGTGTGTGCAGGTGGAGGCGATGTGTGCTGACGCGCGTGTGTTGTGAGTGTGTGCCGTGAGCGCGTGTCAATAGCGACGTGTTTGGTGAGCGATGTCGTCTGGCCGGGTGTGCGTGAACGCGTGTGTGCGACGTGTGTGCGTGAGCGCGTATGCGACGTGTGTGCCCGTGATGCGCGTGTGGCGTGAGGCCGCATGTTGTGTCACGTGTGTGCGCTTGAACGCGTGTGGCGACATGTGGGCGTGAGCGCGTGTGTGCGACGTGCTGTGCGGTGAGCGCGTGTGTGCGTGAGCGCGTATGTGTGCGACGATGTTGCTGAGCGCGTGTGTGTTATGTGGCTGCGTCGAGCCGCGTGTACTGCGACGGCTGTGCGCGGAGCGTATGTGTTGTGCCGGGGGGACGCGGTGTGCGATGAACGCGTGTGTGCGACG